TATGACAGTGTGAACGGCACAAATCCGATATTTTCAAATCCGGTCTGGGTCACTTTCATATGTGGTACTGAATCAGATACATATCCAATGTTTTAGAAAGCGACTGCTGTGTGAACGGTCATGTCGCATTAAATCAGTCTTTTACGTCACCGACACAAGACAGACGCCAATTATCAGCACCGGAGAAGCGCCCGAGAAGACATCGCGAACGCTTCCTGGCCATCCCGTGTAGTTGTCAGTGAAACTGTTGGGAAGACAGCGTTGGAGAAACGTGAACATTTTATTTGTACTGTATAATCTGCAGATTCTGACAGAAATCTGCAGCTATCCTTTGAAGCACCGCTCCTCTAAAACAGCAATAAGGATCATTAGGCAGGGATAGCTCAGTAGGTAGAGTGGTGGCCCCATGATCAGAAGGTCGGGGGTTCGACTCCACTGAACGGCTACCCTGAGGTACCCCTGAGCAAGGTACCATCCCTGCACACTGCTCCCCGGGCGCTGCATTGGTGGCTGCCCACTGCTTCACTGGGTGAATGGGTTAAATGCAGAGGAACTATTTCCCTATGGGGACTAACACATACACATTATTACAAATACATTATTATTAGGTTATCTACATTATTATGTAAATAACAAAATAACTTAAAGCAAAAATTGGGAAACGTAAAGTCTTTATATTAAGAGCCATCAGTCAAGCAATAGTGTTTGCTCTGGGCCTAAACAGAGCGCGTTGTGTGTGACGTCTTCTTTTGCGCATGCTGGCCACTGCGTTTGCTGTCACATTTTATTTGTAGTGTGAACACGCAGACAAAAAAAATCGGATTTGATCAAAAAATCTGAATTGAGCATCAAGACCTGCGGTGTGAACGTAGCCTAACAGACTTTGCGGCTCTGACTATAAACTTTTCATTCATATTTCCAAAGAATGACATTGAAACAGCAGGTCAGTATATCTGCGTTTCCTGAGCGCGCTCCATACTGCGTTAAGCCTCACTTAGGCATTGTGCAGTCAGCTAGCAAATGCCATTAGTTCAGGTATCCACTCCTCTCAGCCATTAGAGATTTGTGACTCTTCACACAGAAATGAACAGTTCACTTCAGGTTGTTGTGTGAGAGGAAGCGCACTAATTAGTTTATCAAATAATACTTTTTACACAGTCATGCACTACCTTGCAATTTCCAGCTGTTTTGTTCAGTCTTAGAAATAATGATGCTCAAACAGGATCTGTTTGTCAAATCATTAATTATCAGTTTTTTTCCTAATGTGTTTTTAACTCCAGGTCTCACACAGTGAGAGGACATTTACAGAGTTGCTCCTTCAATAAAAGTGCTCTGTTGGAAATGATTTAGCGCGGGATTAAATCTTTGTCTGTTAATACCCTTTGATTTATTCTTTTCTCGACTTCTGGACTTGTGTTTCTGATTAAATGCCATTCTTCAGTATTTTCCCTTTGCCCTTCGTTTTATGAGCCTTCTCGTGACACTTGTCAAATCAGAGATTTGTGTGTCTGACACACATTGACACGGGGCATTTCTAAGATGTCTCAATATCTTCTCTGTATGTCATGGGACTCTGCTGCTCACTGCTTTCCCCCTCCCTGCGATGCTTTAATTACTTTATCCCTTGTTTCACTCATCCCTTTCTCCTTCACTTCATCGCCCCGAGCTGCTCCTCATTCCTTTTAATTAATCCACACAGATTTAGACACCTTCACCCTGCTGTGAATGCACACACACACGCACACACACTAATTCCTAGTAGAGAATAACAACTTTTAAGTGAGCTTGCTTCACTTTGAAAGTTTTTTTTTTTTTGTGTGTGGAAACAAATGCAGTGGGTCTGATTGCTTGTTATTGTGTGTTGTGTTTTGGTTCAGGGCTCCAACGGAAGCATGCAGCTTATGGAAACAGAGTTCTCCAAAACTCTGGGAGAGATGGTGGCTCTTCATCTGCATCACCAGAAGAGCATCCCAGCGTTCCTCTCCGCCGTGACCCTCGACCTCTTCAGCCGACAGACCACAGTCTGACAGAACTGCACACCATCTCACACACTCGTGTAAAAATTCGAGATGAGCTTAAGTTTTATTTTGACTCCCCCCCCCATCGCCCTCTATATACTTCACTTTTCCCCTCGCCTCATACAATATTCATAAATTGTTTTGATTGTGCCGGTATGTTTCAGCAGCTCTGTTGTATGAATAGATCAGCGAGTGCTGTTTTTGTGGCGGATGAGCACCTGCTTTGATAGAATTTCTTTCACTGAAAAGCAGCTTGGTGCGCCTATTTGTACAATGAATATTTCATCAATAAAGTCTCGAGGAAACCATTTTTTTTTTCCTAGTCATCATGAAAATGATCCATAAAAATCACTTATATTTGTATTTAGAGCCTTCTTTAAAAAAAAAACAAAAAATACTGGATGTTGAAAACACACTTCCTCTAAGTTTGTTCCTTTCTCTAGGGCAGCGGTCCCCAACCCCCGGGCCTCAGACCGGTACCGGTCCGTGAGTAGTTTGGTACCGGGCCGCGAGAGTTGAGGCTCGGGTGTGAAATGTATGGTTTTAGCGTTATTTTGTTATCATTTTTATCGTTAACTCTGTTTTCCTGGGTCTTTTCACGTGTGATATGAATAAATCTTCTTTTTTTTCGGTACTGGTACTAGTTTTATTTTGTTGTATTTATCCACGACACCTTAAAGGCCGGTCCGTGAAAATATTGTCGGGCATAAACCGGTCCGTGGCACAAAAACGGTTGTGGACCGCTGCTCTAGGAGCCTTATACAAGAGAAAAGAAGCAGTTGTAGCTCCACTCTGTCCGAGCCAATCTGAGCCGGTGTCAAAGCAATCACTGAATCCTGCTTAGTTCAGTTTGTAATTCAGATTTGTTTTTCCCCTCACAAGATTTTTAAAGGTTGGAAGTCAGGAGGCGGTGCAGGGTAATCACACGGGGAGTATTTGTGCGTTTCCACTGTCAGCAGGATCACTAAGCTTGACTGACACTGAAACACTGAAGGAGTAACCGTGTGCAGTCATTTTAGATGTAATAGATGGAAAAATCATGGATATGGGTAATTTAAAAATTTGTGTCACCTATCAGCCTGTCACCCAGGAGAAACGGAGCAGGCGCGAATGAAAGGAACAGTGTCATACAGTATAATATTAGTTCAGGACTCTGAATTTCAATTGAGAAATTATGCATTTGCTCTCTCTTACTTGTTCCTGTGCACCAGCTTTACAGAAGAATTACAGAGTGTGGTGTGCCATGTGCAGGGAAGCTGTAATGTTTAGTGCCTGTAACACAGTCATTGTCCTTGAGTTTGATGAATTGCGATTTATCCCCTTTATGGCTTCAGTTAGCGATTGCATCTTTGTGTGTCTGAACACAACACAAGTGGAATTTCTTGGTAACAATAACGTGAAAATGGCAGAAATAAACACGCTGAAGAGGGGAAATGAGGAAGCCGTCCAATAAAACCGAGAAACAAAAGGAAGCAAACTGAGGATGAAGCCACTCATCACAGCAACGATATAAGGACTCCAGCTGGCGCAGCCATATGCCTCATGAGGCAACATATTCTGCACAGTACATGCCACATACTGTCCTTGTTTTGTTTCTGTTTTTTTACACACATTCTTTTTCACAGCGCAGCACATCTGAACACCCACCGCCCCGATGAGGTCATGTGTTTGAGGGTTTTGCATAAGCTGTGCAGCACACGCCGCGATCTGCTGTACCTTTGTTGTTTTTGTCTTAAATTTGAAATGAAAATGTTAATAAAACACATTGGACTGTTGATCGAGTGAGATTTAATGAGTCACTGCGTTAATAAATACCCAGACCGCAGGCATTAGGAGACACTTGGATTTGGAGCTAGCACTCGAATGACTGGTGTCCGGGCTCGCACCCATGGGTCTAATTTGCCTCAGACTATGTCCAGATTGACAGATTGGCTACACAGAAGGTGTAGTGTGAGCAGCATGTCAGTGGAGCAGCAACAGCCGCTCTGCCCCTTTCCAGAGTTAGGAAGGGGGGAATCCATCCTTGTGTTATTATAAAGCACTCTAAGTGTTTTGGTGTTTAATAAGCCTTCACACTAATGGAACTGTTACCCAAACTGCACTTCCTGGATCACATTTTTTGTCATGGATAATTGAAGAAACACGTTTTTGTTTTGTGTGTTTTTTCTTTCTTTCTGAATGCTGATTACATGTAAATTAGTCTCTACTGAACAGTGTCTATAAATGTGCAAGCTCAACCAAAGAGGTAACGAGTAGTAGCCACTGAATATGTACTAGTGGACAGCTCGGGTGTATTGCTTCTTGCACGACACTGTATTAACTTAATATTTATTTTATTTATTTATATTTTGGGGTGTTCAAACTCCTTATTACTATAGCAGCAGGTTGTGTGCTTAGAGGGCCGAGCATTACCAAGTGGATATAGTTAAGACTACGTCTAAGCACGGCTCTCTTTCTGGAGTCAAACTCCCACCAGGGCTGGAGTTGCTCTGAGTCAAAGTTGCTGCCAGCGCTCCTGTCCGACAACCCAATAACATGGTGCTGGATGCCGAAGGAATCTGTCAAACCAAAGTACAAGGATTTCTGGGCTTAGCTGACAAATAAAACAGGTGAGGAAAAAAGAGAGCCTGCTAGTGCTACTGTAGAACAGACTGTAAGGAGAGTCTACGGGGTTATTAAATGAGAGTTAACCTACACACTGTACGTTTCCATTTTGCAATAGAGGAAAAATGTCTGGCACGTTATGGTTCTCTTGCCATTTCTAGCTCATTTCTAGTTCATTTTTGAACAGTGACTTTTTTTCTTTTTTGCTATTACCTTCATCACCAAATGCTGTTTCCTGTCTTGAGATGCTCTGTCAGGCCTTTACTGCAGCTTCAGTAGCTGCTTGTTTGAGTCCTGTAGACCTTCCCCTCCATATTAGACAAGCGTCATCAGTGCAGGTCTTTAAGTCCAGATTAAAAACCTATTTTTATTCCCTGGCTTTAAACTCTGTAGGAAACGGACACCTTTCTTATTAATTTTATTGTATTTTTAATTTCGCTAGTTGTTTTTGATCTGATGATGATGATGAGTCTCTGCCTCCGATTTTGTATTTGTGTTTCTAAGACTGAACTGTGCACACTCCAGATTTCAGTTCCTGAAGGTTGTAGACAGCAACATGCCTCCTGCAGTGTGTTCTTTTTCAGCCTAATGATGGCATCTCCTTGGGTCTCATCTTGATACCAAATACAAGTTCAGCACTTGGAATCACCGACAGATCTTTTATCATTGTCTTTTTGTACTTAGTACACAATACCTTTGAATTTTGTTACAATAAAATATAGATTTGTGTAGAAAATCAATTAGAAAAATCAAGTTGATTCCACATGCATTTAGTCTTATTTAAATACTTTGGCATAGATAAGCTGTGTTAATTCACCAGATTTCAACCTCGTGGGACAGATTTACACAATAAAATCAAGCAAAAGCACAAAACTCATTTTCAGTTGATTGACTTCACAGATCTTTTGTCTGAAATAATGGGGAGCAGGCTTCACCTCGCCTGTTTTTCAATTATAAGTCCAATTCCCTTTGAGCCTATAAACATGGGGGACTATGCAAAAAAGTAATGTTACTTATTAAATGCCTTGAATTAAAGCTGAAAGCCTGCACTTCAATCCTATACAATTGATTTGGAATGCACTGCGGTAGTGCACAGAAGTAATATACCAAACTTGTCATTTTTCAAAAACTTGTGTATGTCCCAGTAGGTCCACTGTTGCATTGGGGGACACTTATATGAAACCTGTCCAAAGGTTCAGATAATTTTAGTCCAAATCTAAGTGTTCAGACTCCCCTAATCACCATTTTCCTTACATGGGTCTCTCTTTTTCAGCTTTCCTGGGCACGCCACCGGCACACACCTGTTGACTCTGCATGTACGTTTGAATGAATCAAATAGGAGGGATACTTTTTTCTCCGACACAGCCACTGTGGGCAAAGAACAGTTTCGTTTCTGTCTTTGAATTTTAATTTCTGTTGTTTTTTCAGTCACGATGTCATTAGTAGCCTTCAGAGTGTTGTTGTGCTTAATTAGAGTCCCCCGAGAGCAGCCATTTGGCTTTTCTACCTTTAAAACCCGCCTTCCAGCCAAATGGCTGGTAGG